TGCAAAACACCCTAAATCGATGATCATCGATCACCCTGAATTGCTGATCAATGATTTGCAAATCCTTAAACACCAAAGTGACCAATGCAATTGAAAGCCCTAAGTAGCCAACAACAAATGCCGAAACCCTAAGTGGCTACTGCAACCTTCTCTGTCACCGCCAACAACACCAGTGCTCACCAACTAATATACCTAGGGGCGATGGTGGTTAGTCAACTCCGGAGAGTGAAGGTTGAAGATGGTAATAAAACCCAAATTGCCGTCACGTCGGATTTTGAGAGTGTCGATTGGGATAAGACAATATGTTGAACAGATTCGGCGAGCATGACGATGCAGCATTCGTGAACAGTGAACTCTCCAAGCCAACATCAATCTTCGGGCTCAAACAAGACTATGGGTGGTGATCGGAATATTCGTCGGATCGAAGCAACCATCTTTCTTCCTCTCCGTGCATCACCTCTCGCCGCCGCAAATCCTCTAAATTCCTTGTGAATAAAAAATATATATATATATACACACACACACACACAGAACTGGGTTGTTACACTTATTGGGCTCTTCTTGATCGAATGGAGTAAAATCTACTGTGAGAAACGACGTATTGGCAGAGAAGTAGCGTTAATCAAGGAGAATTGCAATCTGACGGTTGAGTGGAGAGAGAAAAATAAAAAAACCGGGTGGAGGTTGTGGCGGTGGCAGATGTGAGTTGTGGCGACGATGGGTTGAGGATATTGAGGTTAGAGAGAGAAAGTAGGTAGGTGTAGTTAATTTTCTTTTTTCCTAAAAAAAAAGGGTATTTCGGTAATTTAATGGTTCTGATATTTTAGATTAAATATGAATAAAGTAGTAAAGGGTAATGTAGATATTTTACTCCTTTTTAGGCTTTGTTTGGTTGCAAAATCTGACAAGGGTGTCATTGTTCAAAAAATGACTATCTTTTATTTGACTGCCAATAAGGCAAATCCCAAGAAATGTAAGTGTAATTAACCTTTTATTTTTTTATTTTTTTACTCAATGCATTTACTCCTCATTTGCTGAGGTAGGTAGACACAAGTCATGCTTATCTTTGCACAAATTATTTAGATTATAACATAAATATAAAATAAATACAAAGAATCTGCAGAGTGTATATATGATTCAGAAAACAACAAAGCAACTCTGTGTAATCTCCTACTTCTATTCCGTTGCCTTCTTTTGTCTTGTCAATAACTTTTTAATTTGACTAGTTCATTGCATTCATCCAGGTTTCAAACCAAACTCGTTTCAATAACATTAATTGCACCATATTTTTAATAAATTAAATTTTCCAATTGAGCATTAAAAATTATCACAAACCTCTCATGGTATCACACTTAAAAGTTTTTCTATTTTAGGGAAAACCAGTACTCTTCCCGATGAATTGAATGTAATTTGAAAAATGGTAGCAAAAAAAGCATGAACATTTGAATTTTCAGAAAATAATTTTTAAAAAATAAAATCAAATATAATTTTTGTACAGCTTTACTGTTCTCAACCGTATAAATCAATATTCATATGGTATGATATTTTAATTTAAATAAAAAGATAAGTTGAATGGTATATTTTTTAAATAAAAAGGTAAAGTTGAATGGTATTTTTTTTAGTAATATAATATATGGTATCAAATATAACTGTATAAATCAATATTTGTATATATAGCATATATGATAAAATAAAGTGTAAATCTAAGTCACATAGAGCGAGAGCGAGAACGGGAGCGTGAGAGTAATAAAATTATATCATAAATAGTAAGAATTTGAGCCAAAGTGCGCGCAGAGCCTAACAGCGGGAACTCGGAACGTAAGAGCGATGCTTGTTGAGAATGATGATGTGACTTAGGTGTAGATTAATAATTTTTTTTTACTAACCTTGCTGACTTGGCGATGACAAAGTTATGTTAAAAATGTGGCGTTAATGCTCACTAGACCTGAAGGGACATAAAATCCCATTGGGCCAACTTCAGCCCAGCCCGCCAGTAGAGGAAAGGGCCCAGCGAGCCCCAACTCATCCACTCTCATTTAAGGCCTGTTCTGACGGAGAGTGAGGCCCAAGAAGATATCAAGCCCGTTTAGGAGGGATAAAGCCCATATTATCTCAAGGTTTAGAAAGAGCAACAGATTTTTAGGGTAAGGAGAGACTTTTATAAATAGAAAAAGAGAAGAAATGTAAAATGATTCGATTGAAGTGTAACAAATTTACTTTTTTAATAGAGAGAGCAGTTTCTTGCACATTCAGAACGTCTTCCAGTGAGAGTAAATGAAGAGGATTTTTTTTCTCAAACGCTAGGGTTGGTCTTACACTTTTTAGGTTTTAATTTTCAATTAATAAACTGGTAGGGAAAAAAAAAATGTGGGATAAAGTATTGTACAGGTGGGGAGTTTAAAATTTTTTAATTGACTGTAAAAGAGTATTTAAGGGTAGAGAGAGATTATAATTTGTTTGGGTTGGGCTGTTTGTTTGGGCTAGGCTTTATTGGCCTGTTGTTTTGGACTTTGTCCCTCTTTGTACAGTTTTCTCTTCTATTAAAATATTAATTTACCAAAATAAATAAATAGTGTCTTTTGTTTCTTTTTATTTTATTTCATTTAGTTTAGTTTGGTAAGTAATATTATCTTCTGATGCTTTCTTATTTTTATGGGTTGGATTTACTGCCTAAGATTTTTTTTTATAATTATACTACCATTAATGAATTTGCTTGATATTGGTCAATATAGTTTTTATATTTATGGTGGTAGTGTTTGAATTTTGAGCTTATAAGATAGATTTAAGGTTCAAAAATATTTTTTGTCGTATTTTTTTTTTCTTTTTCAGGTTGAGGTCAAGTCCATTGAGCAAGGTGCATAAAATAACTTGTCAAAAATTAATAAGTGAGTTATTTTTTTTAGGTTTTAATATATTTTTTTTCTTTATAAATACCAAAATACCTATATATATATATATATATTCTGAAAAATAATAGATTACAAATTTCTTTTTTAGAGAATAAAAGGCCGGCGTAGAAAAATAAATGAATAGAGATTGTTCTACTACAGAATTGTTGGGCCACCTCGTAAGATTTATGAATTATGGATTGGCACTTAAATTTTAATCCAAACTGATGAACTTGATAATACTAACACTTTTTTTGGAAATTGAAACCAAATTCTTTTGGAATTTGAAATTATAATTAGAAAAAGAAATTGGATTATAATTAAAATAAAATAAAATAAAATTTTGTGTTTGGAATGAATTGAAATTCATTTTAAGGAAAATAAAATTTTCATTTTACCCCTTAAAAATGGGTTTTAACCTTTTGCGCGGATGTGTAAGATTTGTATTCCAATCAGGCCCGATGGAACGGGTCTTACTCCTTGTAGCCTGGTCTCAGACTATTTGGATTTGGACTCAGGCCCAAGCTTAAAGTACATGTTTATTGTATAAGATGATATTCTTATTCACACATTCGCGAAGCCCAAAAAATTGACTATAAACTAAGTCAAGCTAAAAAATTTTTGACTGCACATCTTATTTGACAATCCAAAAGTAAATAGTTTGTCCATTATTTAATATTCTATAAAAAATGGTGTTAAATAATATGTGAGAATGAGTTAAATTCATAAAATGATGTAAAATTTAGAATAGGAGAGAGTTGCATGGCTCACCATTTCGTCTGATACGCAATGTATTGATCGATACGCGATCTTTTTTCAGGTTCGATATATGATTTATATCGGTCAGTTTATACTGACTTGGTTGGAGTCTGTTATATCGCGACCGTAAATGATATTACGAACCATGATTACAACAAAAAAACAGCGTCATGAACAGCAAATCTAAGATAGCAACTCCAACGGGCAACTCAAAAAAACTAGAATCTGTAAAAGGGAGCAGGCAAAGGAAAAGCAAAGGATCAGACTACCCAGGTGGAAAGGAATTGATGTGATGAGTTTGGGGTATTAGTATATATACTCCATTAAATAAAAAAAATAAATAAAAGTACAAATTTTAATTCTAATCCCAAATTCAAAGTATGAATTTTGCATCAGCAATGATCACAATGTAGCGATGGAAGAATTGAAATTAACCAACATTATTTCTATGCAGTCTCTCCCTTCAAGAATCATTTATTTTTCATGTGCAAATTAAAATCAAAATCAATTGAGACAAAGTGTAAAATGAGACAGAAAAGTGAACTGCAGAAGCAAGAATCACCCAAAAAACAAGAACAGAAATACCCTAAAGCCAGATAAAGTAGTATAGGAAAAAAATACTACTACGTATAATAAAGACCACTAATGGATCAGAATTTGGCTTAGATCAGAAATGATTAGGCTAGCATTAAGTAAGCCTTCGTGGCAAACCTCCGTGGCCAATTGATAAGGACTGTTAACTACCCCAATTAACCCACCAAGAAATCTCTTATTTGTCTCATTCCATATACTCCAAAATATAGCAGTAAAACAGTTCTATATTTCTTATTCGTTTTTTTTATTTATTATTATTTATTTATTACTATTATATATTATATTTGTGATAGAGAGTCATTGAGTATATACATTCAATTAAATTTGTTAAGGTAAGAAATAAAATTATTATATCAACATTAATTATTAATAATACTATTTATTATTATATTATTTCTTTTATGAACTGAACAGCGCAAACAAAATAAATTGTGTGGTGTGGCAATCCAAAAATATGAGAGAGATTTTAATATGTCGACAACTAATAAAATGAGACAGCGGGTTAAAACATGGTCGGTCAAATTAGACCACTAAGACAACATAGGATGGAATTATCTGGACTTGATTTAAACAATCAAACCAACAATCAAAGCCCCACTCTCCCCACGGATTAACCACGTCTCTTTCTGTTTTCCATTTATGTACTCCTACTACAACACTATTCAGCAGAGGCGTACACTGCTTGTATTCCCAGGCCAGAATATTAGTATCATCAACGCGTAATATTAGTATCATCAACGCGTTAACGTTTTTTTCTTCTCCACTTTCCCTCTAAACAAACCACCACCAATAAGACCTTTTTACCCCTGCCTAGTGCCTAGGTGTGTATGTTTTTCTTCTTTCCCCACATCTATATAAATAACAACTCATCACCAACTTCTTCCAAACATCCTCCACTTCCAAACATGGCTAAACCGTTAGAATTCCTCATGGTATTCTGTATTTATAGCTTCTTCATACACCGTTCTGCAGCTGCTTACTCCATCGGCGTCAACTACGGCACCGTCGCCGACAATCTCCCTCCACCAGCCCAAGTGGCTTCCTTCCTCAAAGCCCAAACCACCATCGACAGAATCAAGATCTTCGACGCCAACCCTGACATCCTCCGCGCCTTCGTCAACTCCACCATCGCCGTCACTGTGTCCGTCGTCAACGGCGACATCCCTGCCGTCGCCAAACTCCCCGCTGCCCAGTCCTGGGTCGCCAACAACATCTCCCCTTTCTACCGCAAAACCAAAATCAACCGAATCGCCGTCGGCAACGAAATCATCGCCACTGCAGATAAGAACCTCATCGCCCACCTCGTCCCGGCGATGAAATCTCTCCACAACGCCCTCAAACTCGCCGGAATAACTGACATTCAGGTCACGACGCCCCACTCTCTGGGCATACTATCAGCAACTGATGCGCCGAGTACGGGTCGGTTCCGACGCGGGTACGATCGCGTCGTATTTGCTCCGATGCTGGAGTTCCACCGCCAGACAAAGTCACCTTTCATGGTCTGTCCCTACCCGTACTTCGGATTCGGTCCAAAGACTCTGAACTACGCGCTTTTCAAGCCAAACGGCGGCGTTTTCGACAACTCCACCGGGAAAAATTACACCAACATGTTTGATGCGCAGATGGACGCTGTCTACTCGGCGATGAAGCGGCTCGGGTACGGCGACGTGGACATGGTGGTGGCCGAGACCGGGTGGCCGTCGGCGGGCGACCCGAACCAGCCCGGCGTGAACGTCGAGAATGCGGTGTCCTATAACGGAAACCTCGTGAAACACGTGAACTCCGGCAAAGGCACGCCGTTGATGCCCAACAGGACTTTCGAGACCTATATCTTCTCTCTCTTCAATGAGAATCTCAAACCCTCCACGTCGGAGCGAAACTTCGGATTATTCCGACCTGATTTCACACCGGTGTACGACGTTGGCATTTTGGTCAATCCGCAGGTAATTCCTTGATTAGTCCGAGGATAATTTGGTAAATACACAAGTTTCTGTACTTTGAAAACACTTGCACGTTTTCTGATGCGCCAGCTCATGCAGCTTTTTTACCAGACCAGCAAAAGTATTGATTGACCTTTGAATTTTTAAGAAGCCCAATTGTCCGTTTTGTTTTTGAAATGACCAAATGACCCCTGTATTCTATGTATGGGGTGATTTGAGGGGTATTATTGTCAGAATAATTTCATATATTCAGTGCATTCTCGATTCCCGAAGACATTTTTTAAACGTTTTTATTTTTCTTCATTACTCAGCCGGTGATAAATATATTTTGGTCCCACCATTTTCGAATATTAATAAACACCTAAAGTGTACATATGGATATTGGTTGTGATTTCAGAAGGGTGGGCCCACACCTGCGACGCCTACGTCTCCGTCTCCGTCGTCGTCGGCGGCGTCGGAGTGGTGTGTACCGAAAGCGGACGCTAGCGATGAAGCGTTGCAGGCGAACATAGACTTTGTGTGCAGTCATGGAGTAGACTGCAAACCCATACAAGACGGTGGGCCCTGTTTCCAGCCCAACACCGTGAGATCACATGCATCATACGCCATGAACGCCTACTACCAGTCAAATGGTCGCAATGATTTTGACTGTGATTTCGTTCACACCGGAGTTATCACCACCGATGATCCCAGTATGTACTTCATTAATCCAACAATTAGTACTAATTTTATACACATTTTACTATCTATGTAGACTATGTGTGTGTATATTTATGTTTGTATAATATAATGTATTGTTTGACGTTGCAGGTTATCAGGAATGCAAGTACGTCTCTTGAAAGGGAATTACAAGTGGAAGAGTTGTTACAAATGGGTTTTGGTACATTAACTGAGTTGAATTTGCACCATTGGGACTGTATTGTTGCTATTAATTTAATTTGTGCCAACTTACCTATTAGTGTATGTTCATACTTAATTCTATAAATATATCTAATTTGAGCTTCTATTCGGTTGCAATTTTCAGTATTTCTTATTTTAATTTATGTATTTTTTAATTTTAATTTATAAAGAGAAATAGTTCTTTGTTTTTTTTAATTAATTTTTTTTTTGGGTTTTATCTAATACATTGAATTGAAATAAATGGATTGATCTCGCCTTAACATTGTGCTAACCAAACTGCGCCACTATGGAACCACACGGAACTAATGTGCAGATTCGTCTAATAGTTTGAATTGGATTAGACCACAATTGACTTATGGTTTAGGGCATCAAACGATTTGGTTCTTCTAGAAATGAATGTATAGTACTTGTAGCCATGAATATATCAATTTATTTATTTATTTATTTTTATTTTTTTTATTCCAAATTAAATTCATATGCTTCATCACTCGTGCATATGTAAATATACTCGTATGCTTCATCACTCGCTCGTTCATCTAATACACATTTTTCTTAGTGATTCAATGTATACAAAAGTGTGTTCAAAAGTAACTCAAAAGTATATTTGATAATGTAAAATTTATTCTCGAAATATACTTGATAATATAAAATTTGTTAAAAAATTTTTGAAAGTTAAAATATGAATACATTTGAAAAAAAAAAAAAAAAATGTTGTCCGTTTGAAAAATATAGTGGTCATTTAAGAGTTTTTCATACACACACATATATATATATCTATTGCCTCTGTCGCAAAAAATAAATGACAGTTTTGAAAACTATGACTCACAAAAATATTGAGAATCTAATATTTGCAAAGAAAATGATTCTTTGGGCCGAGGCTGGTAGACTCTGTGCCAACTAGGGAAGGCCCAAATAATAATTTAACAGTCCGAGACGCAACGACTTGGGGCGTGGGGGTGTTGCATATAAATGCCACGAGAATGGCCAACAAATCCAAACTCTCTCCAATTTACAGATGGTGTCTCTCTCAATTCAGAAACTGCAATCAAGTGAAATCTTAATTTATTTGATTTATATATATTTCTACTTGAATAAATAATTTAGTTATCACCTCCATTCACCGACAATCTGGATGATGCAAGGGGCAGGGTAAAAAAATACATACTGAGCAGACTAGCAAGAAATATGCCTCTATGAAGAAGAGGACTAGTTTATATATTCTTCTGGCTTCTGTTCTTGAAATATGAAACTGACATATTCAAGAGTTAAAATAAAACTGTAGTACGCAACTAATCTGGACATCAAATAGTTCTTTTCTATAAAATTGTTAAAATACCCCTTTAGATTTTAAAAAATTGATTGTTGCTGAATTTGCCATTCTTGACTGTTTTCTCTCTTAGAGGTAAAGATTGTTAATATTAATTTGATCATAGAAAAAGTGAAATTCTGCAGACTACAATGGTGAGACTTTAGAGGCTCAGTTGTCTGTTTTCCACTAGAGCAAGTAAAACAGGGGAAAAAAGAGAGCAGAACAACCCTTTTCAACTGAAAACTAAAGAATTCCTTGGTGCTAATTAATTATTTTTTGGGGGGATCTTGCGTCGCCGCACCTTGGTTGAGCTCTCCAAATCTCATGCCAACACGCATTGAATGCTTCAAGAACAACTCTGTGCATCTCCGCACACAGTTTTCCTCTTTCTTTTCTAATGATTTGCGATGAAATGTGTCAACACAATCCTTGAAACATCTCTCCACAAGAGAATTATACATCCTAAGACTGCAAATAGAATAGGGAAAAAAACCATATAATACTATTAGAATGAAACCTCTTGCAAATTGTTACCACAATATATCATAATACAACATTTCAGGTAAAACTCGGATGACAGGATTACTGAAGGATTCTATCTGAATCTCCCTTCTTTCATGAAGGGTATCATTTAAATTTTCTATTTTCTTAGGCATATGAACGTATGACGTTCACTCCAATCTACAAAAATTTCAGTGTACAACTGTGTCGTTCCCTAAACATCCAACAACAACATAGATGTTGCACTGGTATTTAGGAGAACCTTCTTCTGGCTTCAAATTAAGATTGTCACACAAGTTAAATTCAACCATGCAATCCATACAAGGCAGTGAAGCCACGACTAAGGGAACAAAGAATTCCTCAGGCCATAATGAATTATGTGGTGCTACTAAGTGCACTGAAGGAACTAGAATAACGATCCATTGGTGAGAAAAATTTGTCCCTATTTCTCTTTTCCCTGGGTAAATATAAAATAAAATAAAGAAAAAAAGAAAGAATAAGAGAAATAGGCCTTCAAAGAGGGTTCAACTAAAGTTGAACAGCTCCAATTGTTCTTAAGCTCCAAGAAAATTTATCAGATCCACATTTGTGACATCAACAAAATCAACAAATTTGAAATTTAAAATAAATAAATAAATAAAGTCTTTCATATCACTAAGAGAGCCTTAAGAAAGTATTTCCAAAAAAAAAAAATGATAGATTCAAATTTTCTGGGCTGCAAGTGTCACATATGAAATCTAATAAATAAGTGAACACGTAATGCCTGAAGAAAGCTGACATGTTCACCAGAGCTGCAGCGAAACATAAATGTTGTTCCCTTAACGTCCAATTGCAACACAAATGCTGCATTGGTTTTGAGGGGAACATCATTCTTGCTTCACGTAACAAAGCCACACGTGCAACACATAGGAAGTGAAGCACAACATAAAGACCCAAAGCAACACTGCTTACAAAACAATGTCTTAGCCTTACACGAATTACTAGTTCATGAAGACATCAGAGTTGCTGATCCCTATTTTTATCATTGTTTCAGATAACAGCCATTATGCAACAGTAATGAGAGTGCCAGGCCCTGTAAAATGGTGGATTTTTGTTTCACAATTCTAAATCTTAAATCGAATGCTATAAAAAAAAAAATGGATCCACAGAATTTTATATGCATCATCCGTGGGAATGGAATTCTGTTTACTCAATTAAATTGAGTATCCGTTTCCCCCCCTTTCCTGTTGAGATATATCCATCTACTACTTTTGAGATCTATAATTCTTCCGATGTATTGAATGATGGCTCCAGGAAGGGAAAATTATTGGTTGTCAGGTACAGGACAATGCATGCGACTAGACCTTCGGAACAATTTTTTGCGTGTGCAAATAAAGCAAAATTAAGTCGGTACAGTAACTGTTATTCTTTTAATCATGTTCTTATTTTACTTAATTTAAGTTATATTAAATTTATTATTAATATTGTTTAATATTAGATTGAGATTGTAAGTCATGTTACAATTTTCAGATCTAATTGTATCATTTATTACATACTATAGATTTTATATTTTGCGACATTGAGACTAAATGTATCTGAACTGAAACTAAAATATTGCTCAAGTGCATTTGTTGTGGTATCAAAGTACTGAAACTAAAAATTAGTAATCCTATACTACTGACAGTGACTTAAAATCAAATGTATGGGTCACATAATTCATAGAGACCCAAATTTATGAATTGTGAGATTACAACATATGCATACACAATGTGAAAGTTGGGAGAGACAACAAGAATTCACAATTTTAATGGTCATTTTTATTACATAATGATGACCATACACTGAGCATTAATGTTATGGCTGTCATTACCATACTTAAACCTTAATTTTCATTAAAATAAAACAAAAGGATAAAAAAGACTTTAATATAGGCATCATCTAGATATTAATTAATTCAGCACTTCCATATTGTATCTCTATCATTCTTACATGTCAACACTACTAATATTTCAGTTAAATTGAAAAACATGAATATAATCCCAAAAAATAAATCAAACAATCTGACGCTAAAGCTCGATATTTCTAAAATACCTCAAAAGAAAAAGAGAATCTTGGTTTAAGGATTCAAAATTCCGAATTGATTAGTTGATGGAGCTAAATAAATAAACCATGAACAATCATATATTCAACATAGGTGCCAGATTCATATATATATATATATATATATATATATATACGGAGAGAGAGGGGGGAAGGGCAAGAACCTGTCACGGATTTGTTGCTGCTCGATCATGGAGGTCATTTTGATCTTGTCTTCTTCAGGAAGAGAAGAGAGATCTCCTACCAAGCTTTTATCCATCTTCGATTTAATTCTTGATCAAGGATTTTTTTTTTTTTTTGGTCTCCCCCTTTAAACCTTCGCAAGGTTTAAGATGAAGACACAGTGCAGCTTCTATATAGTCTACAGTCCTCCCCAAATAAAACCCTAGGATTCAACCCATGCGAAGTGTTAAACGTTGTCGTTTTTAGTAGTAACTTTAACTTTCTAATTGCTTTTTTATTTTTAGAAATGATGTTGTCTAAATAAGTACACAAAGTACAAAAAAGAGGAAGAAAAAAAAAACAGCCATATATAGAATGTACAAGAAACACACCGTTTTTTTTGATAATTATATATAAATTTTTGTATTTTAAAAATTTATACTCCGAAACAAATTGTCATCAACAATTTTGATCAAATTATTTTATGAAAATTCCAAAATATCTTTAAGGGTATTTCAGATAGTTTAATCTTTAATTTTTTTTTATTTATAAAAACTCCAAAATCTCAAAAAAAAAATATATATATATAAAAACTCCAAGTACCCCAATACCCAAATTTTTTTATAAAAACTTCAAAAAAAAAAAAAAATTGTATAAAAATTGTAAAATTTTGAAATAAGTGTTCTTTATTTATTTATTTTTTTTAAGAGCATTGTAAGTATTATTTACTTAATTTAAAAATTATAAGGAATTTTTGTTAAATACAGAAGAATATTTACACATTTTATATATAGGAAAGGTATTTTACACATTACCCTCATTTTGAATCTTTTCGTGTAGTGAAAGACAAGCCAATAATATATCTTGAACTAAAAGCTAGCCAAGCTAAGAAATATAAAGAATGTAATCACAAATGCAATTGTGGGTAAAATTGTGTATAAAGTAGCTAAATAACTGATTTACTTTGACAAATGAAAAGATTTATACAAATTATACATTTATGTGCCAATATGTGAAAAATCATTAAGTATGAATATGTTACAAATGAATAGATTTGTACAAGTTTTATACATTTTCACACCAATCTGGAAAAAATTATTAATTATGAATATGTTAAAAACCTAGTGAATGAGATGATAAATATTAGGGCGTGTTTGGTATGAGTTTTGTTTTTAACGTTTTGTTTTAATTTGACACAAAATAAGTGTTTTGATGTGAAGTGTTTTAAATAGTAATCAAAAATATGTTTGGTAACGTCAATTTGTTGCAAGATTTTTGGAAGTAAAAATATGAAAACCTATTTGGTAAAAAAATGTTACAAGTTTGAAAAATGTAATGGTTAGTTTAAAAATGTCATTTAAGTAATTTAAAAAAAAAAAAAAAAAATTTGTTTCCAAGCAAAAACATATAATAATATCAAATTCACGAAATGTTTTGACACCGTATAAAATAAGATAATTTTTAGTAAACACATTTTTTTTATTATTCACAATTATAATCTAAGTCACATAAAGCGAGAGCGGGAGTGTGAACAAGAACGAATTAGAGAGCAAGGGAGGTAGAATTAAGTTATAAGCAGTGAGAATTTGAGCGAAAGCACGCTCAAAGTGTGAGAGCGACACCTGCTGAAAAGGATTATGTGACTTAGATTACAATACTTGAAAAAAAATAAAAATAAAATACATACAGTACCTTAGGTGTTTTTGTTGCGGGACCTCATTTTAGACCCAAAACATGTTTGGTAACTGTTGCTTTGTTTTAAACAGTAGTAAAATATTGTCAAAATTGGGCCAAAAAGTAAAACACCTTGTTTAGGAAAGAAGTTAGGCCAATCACTGTAGTGGAGGAAAACAACTTAAACCAGACTTACAACATGTATATAAACCACGCTTAAAACATTTCAGTCATTTTATAGGGTTTTCTAGAGAGCTCGAGCGGAGGCGATTTTGTGGCGACTCTACTATGTGCGCTTGTTTGGCTGAAAACGACCAAACCGACAACCGATCTTTGCTCTTTTGTTGTCTTCGTCGAAGAACAAGGCAGGAATCAAAGAATCTGAAGCGACTGTGGCTCGAAAATGGGTCGTCATATAAGATGATTTTTGCCGGACATTCTTTGGGGTCTGGTGTTGCCGCTTTGTTGACGGTGATAGTAGTGAACCGCGGTGACCTGCTCGGCGGGGTTCCGAGGAGTCATGTGCGGTGTTATGCGATTGCGCCGGCGAGGTATGTCGCTCAATTTAGCTGTGAAGTATGCCGATATTATACACTCTGTGATCTTGTGGGTGAGGAATTTGAATGCCCCAATTTGATTTGGTTTTTCTGGTTTCAGTTTGTTTGAATCAATCAAGTGAGAAGTTATTATGAAATTAGTTTTATTCTGTTTATATTTGCTTGTAAATGTATATATTTGAGTTGTTTGATTCAATTGCTTCTAGTTCCTGATAAAATTCATTGCGTGATATGTTGATTTTGATATATTTCTCTCATACGATGATCATTCATTGATGATTGCATCTGTTGTTCCCCCTCTCCCTACGTGTGTGTATATGTATACTTGCTCATTATGCATGATTTTGGAAGTGGGTATGTGATCTCAATTTGGGATTGCTAGCTTCTTTCATTTGATAGGTTTCCTTGGAGGTTGTTTAGTAACCTCAAAATACGGTTGTGAACCTCAAGAAGTTTAAGGAAATGAGCTCATGTGGTTGGATGATTTATTAGTAATTATACATGTGCAGTAGCACGAACCATCTCGGTCTGTAAATAGATTATCAATAATGTGTCTCATTAAGATTCTGGGTTATCTGTTGTTTGAGTTTTATTCTGTGTGTTGAAGGGGTTTATTTATTTCAACTCTTTAAATGTTCAGAATGTAATCGATTTGCTTGAATTAATAAGTTTCATTCAATTCAGATTGTGAAGGAGAGTACTTATGGATTAACACATCCCATAGAAGCATGATCCAAAGCTAGTTTGAGCTTTGAAACACCTAAATGAGCTGGTCCTTCCCTAGAAAATCCAAGTAATGTCTTTGCCATTTTTATTTTAATTATCTTTGTGGAAGCTTAAAAATTTCTAGAACTCTCCCTAACTTTTGTTATTCATAATTTTTCCTATTTTAGGATTGTATTATAAGAACAAGATCACTTAGAAAATCAAGATTTGTCTTTAGTGACACAGGATTTACTGTAATGTATATCATGTTTGGAAGCTTATTGGAATAAAAATGGCCTGCACTGGTTACCAAATTAGAGGATTATAATTTCATAGGGCTTTTTATCTCCCTCTCATCATGCCTTTTACATTCGCAATTCAAGAAATAGTCTTTAGAAATGAACTATTGGAGAGAACTCAAATCAAGGACAGGAAGGTTAGACTCTATGTTACTGTCCTCAATTAATCACACTAAATCATAGATAGTCTAGAACATTACTCCTAAATCCTAATTGACATGTTTACTCCACATGTACAAGAATGATGTAATATACATAGGGCCCGACTGAGATTCCTAAAATTGAGAGCCATATGTGAACTTTCAAATATGAGACCCTTTGGCAGTCTTGCTCTGGACCATTTGCTGGACTCTGTGGGGTTTCATTATAAGTTGGCCTGTTATAATTTTGTTGTGGGTGCTTTAAGTTGGATGAGAGAGATTATTCCTTCTTTGTTTCTAAATTTTTTTTGAGTATTGATGTTGATGATCACTGTAAAATAAGGAATTTAGGGTGGAATATACTCTTAGGGGTTGGTGCTATATGGTGCCTGAGTATTAAAAAAAAGTTGAACACGCCATTTTTCTACTCAATTGCTTTTATATAAATTTTCCTGTTGTTACTGCATTATGTTAATGTGCCTTTTTGTTTCTAATTTTTAAGGGAATTCATGTTGATGATGACTGGAATATTCAAGTATTATTTGGATAATGTTGTGTGTGTTTGGTGCTATAATGGGTCATTGTTGTTGTTTGGAGTGGATTGACTTGTGCTTTTATATAGATGTTATACCCCGATACAAAATTAATTTTGTCAGCATAATTTTATTTTAATTAGACATGATTTATATATGAATATTTTATGCGGTGACCTGTTTTGTGAAGTTTTGTTCTTTGTTAAAGCTTATAAATTAAGCTTGTAGCAGTTAAGTGATTGGAGAAAGAAAAAGAATAAAAAGAATAATAAAATTTTATTGGTACATCAGATGGTATGTGGGTGTGAGGGAATGTGATAAAAATTGGTATGTGCTTTGACCATAGAATTTGACTATAGAATTGTGTGGAAGCTGCTGGGAACAACCTTATTATTTAGTTTTAATATATGTATATATAATATATACGTAGTATCATTTAATGAATAAGTTACAAAGTTTTGTAGAAACTTTGGTGTGTGAGGTGATATATGGTTAGGAAGTGTATGTGTTGGATATGTGCTAGTTAATTGAAATATTTTTTTTTTAGAGCAGCTTTGTTGACTTGTGGTTTATTTATATGACCATTCCAAATGAAAGGCCAAATCTGCCAGCACACTATTTATTTGCTTTCACTAAACATGTAGATAGATTGTTGTGACCAATTAGAATAAAGAGAAACAAGTGGAGTTCACATGTTCTTGCAATAGAGAATTTCATGTATGGAATTATGGAGAAGAAAAGAATTTGCTGTCAGTACAAAAACTCTTTACACCCAACTGAGACACGTATGTTTGTATATATATATATATATATATATATGAATGGTATGTTACTTTACAAACTAGTTTGAGACTGCCTTTGGAACCGAAAATCCTCACACATATAAAAGTTTTCTTTTGGGCGAAACAACAGTGCTTCATTTTATTGAAGACAGAAAAACGTGTTTTGTTATAAAGCATCAGATAGCGAAAATAGAAGAGAAGGAAAAGCAAGAAAGGGAGGAAGGAAAGAGGAAGAAAGGAATTCTCTAAAATTCTTGTAGATAGTACTAAAGGTAGGGGGTTTCAGATTTGTGATTACGTATTTGAAGTTTAAATTATCTATTTCTTCAATAATTTATTTATTGAGGTGCTCTTGAATAAAATCCATTTATTTCATTATTTTCCTAGTTGAGTGTTAATTATATGAAGGAATACAATTCTTAATTTATTGTAATTACTGTGCTGAAGTTAAATCTATGTAGTTGTGATTAGAATTTAAATTTCAACTACGTAAAGGCTAGAATTTATATATGTTTGAATTCTTAATTTATAGTTTAACCTTTTTGAAATAAATATAACATAG